CTGGGCACCAAGAACGAGACGTGGAAGCAACCGGGCTGTGCGGACTACGAATTGCAGAGTGATTATGGCTACATTACGGACAAGAGACGGCAAAGTTGTACGTCGTCGTCCTCCACCTTGCCCCTCACATACCCACACCCACCATCCATCCGCTGCTCCGAGAATCTTTCGACATACTAACATCAACAAAATAGGTGACTGCAAATTCGCCAACGGCACCACTGTAACCGCCGCCGAACAAAGAGACCTCTGGCAACACACCTCGTTTAATCAATACGACGATCTTTTGTTCAATTGCACCTTCGACTTCCCCAACAACACACAGACCTGGACGGAAGAAAAGGTCTACAATCGAGACTCCATCACTCATCTCTGCAACACCAGCGTCTCCGTCCCTGTGGGTGGCAAAACGTACAACGCCGATGACCTCGTCGGGGACTACGGGTACTGCTACAATAGCATAGGGTATCAGTACTACTCGCTCATCGGGAAAAGCCGCTGCCTCCCCGACACTGCCAACCCGACCTACCAATGGGGTTTCTCGACACTCATGGCTGGGTTGTTTATGTTTGTAACGAGTGCCTGGGTGTTGAGTATGTACGTGCTGTGGCAGGACGCACAGTTCAATTCTACGCTTGTCAAGGAGGGATATAGACTTACGCCGTTGCGCGCGGCGTTTGCGATGGCGGTCGCGGCGAGGAGGCGCACGGGGTTGAGTGGGAAGGATCTTATCAGTGCGAAGAACAGGGCATTGGGGAGGCAGTTGTATGGAAAGAAGGGGACGAGAGGGACGGTTGTGGATCATGGGCTGTTTTTGCAGGATCTTGAAGATACGGATACAGATGGTACTGTCAAGTCGCCCGTTACGCCGATGTCACCGACACCCTTGTTATCCACGCCATCTCCCTCTTTCGCGCTGGCGGGTAAGGAGAAAACGTGGATGGCTTCTCCGACTGAAGACGACATGGAGATTAGACCGCTGGCTAGGTCGGATACGGATCTTTCTGTCCACGTCCTCAGCGACGAAGAACTGAGGAAGAGGTACTTGAGAGGTGTGGAGGAGGCAAGGCTGAGTCGCAAGCCGCTTAGTCGGGAGGCGACGCTTGTGGGGGAGGGATTGTGGGAACGAAATCACGGTAGCGAGGGACGGGGTCGAGATGATGGGCCGGGTGCTTCAGACGACGGATATCCGAGAGAGAAAGAAGCCGAGACTGCGGACACATCGGAAGATGCAAGAGAAGGGAAGAGCGGGAAGGAGAGAGGTTGGAGGAATAGGTTGAAGAAAGTCAGACGACCTGGCTGAGCGGGAAAATGTGGAGATTTGATACGAAGTAATGCATAATATGAACAAACATATGATTGACATCCGGTCCATTCAACAGGCAAGGCGGTTCTCATCGCGGACACAATCAACGTTTTTGGACGTGTCATCAATTCGCCGCACTTTGCCCTGCCAGCCAACGTCGGAAACCTCTTTCGAGAAAAAGCTCAGAACATGGCTCCCAAGGATCTTGTTTTTGATCTCCCAGTCTCTGCTCTCATCGAGAGAAACCCTTCTGCTTTTGGTGTTGAGCCTATGTCGAAGTGTAATAAGGAAGACAGAGAAAGGGCAGAAGAGAAGGTCTTTAATACCCTTCTCGCCCCGCCGTGAGCACCGCAGTCATACCGCTCTAAGGACTATGCTTCTGGTCGTCTGCTTATCATGGCAATCTTGCCTCTTCTTTTTGGTATTATGTGTAGAGCTTCCACTCCTTTGAACAGTCAAAAGGACATTCTACGTAGGAACAACGTCTTTCGTAGGTCAAGCTGGAGCGAACTTTCCCATCGTGATGACTGTTGTTTTCTTTTGGAAGGCCCCGCTTCTCATAGGTCATCTCGGCGCTCTTTTTGAGAACCCTTCGAATTTTTGGTTGTAAAAAAGTAACGAGAGGCGGGAAAGAGATCATTCCGTCGTAGGGTAAGGTTTTTTAGAAGTCAAAGCAAGTCAGACATGGATAGTTCGTCATCACTTTTTGGGCGTCTGCTCGTCATGTTCAGGTCTAAGATGTGTTTTTGGTATTTCGGGAAAAGTAAGGAGTGGACAGAGAAAGAGTAAGGGAGAGCAGAAGAAGAGCGCTTTATATGTTCTGTCCGTCACTACCACGTGACTCTGCCGACACACATGTCCGTGTTCAAATGTGTGCCCGCGACGCGCACGCAAACACCCTAACTGTCGGCGGATTATTTTTGACACGCTGGAGAATGTACCGTCTGGATGCTTCAGACGTACACATAGGCTGACTTGCAGACGACAAACAGGACATTCCTCACCCTTGATGCCTTTTTGGCCACAAGCCAAAAAGTCAGGACATGATCCGTCCGATATGGCCTTTCTGGTTTGATCGGCCTCAGATCATTCGGAAGCTGAGCGATACTTTTGGTAATATATCTCGGAAAGGGTAGGTAGAGAGCAGGAAAGAGAAGCAGAAGAGACGAATCTTATAAACGCCATGGCCCCGCCGAGAACGGACATCGCATATTTGTCGAAACGTTTTGGAACTCGATCTTCTCATCGGAAGTTTGCGCATATCTTTTGGTATTTGGAAAACAGAGTATTGTCGATGAAGAATGGAGTAGAAGCAGAGGAGGGTGTATTTATATGCATCACGACCCGTTCTAAGGAACTCTAACATGACAGATAAAAGAAATTGTTTTTTAAGCTCTCAACCTCTTATGCGATTAAACCCTGTAGCCTTTTTGCATTAAGTTTAGATGTAGAGTATAAGAAAAGAAGAGAATAGCATAGTCTGAAGACGCCCAGTCTTATAGCTCAGCGCGACACATAGTAGTAAGAGTGAGTCTTTTGGTCTTCTGCTTCTCATATACTGGTGGCCGATCTTTTTTGGTAGGTATCTCGGGTATAGATTGTAGGAAAGCAGAGGAAAGAAGAGCATATGTCTAAGTGAACCCGGTTTTGTAGCTTGGGCGCGGCGCAGAGCGGACATTGCTCTAGCTCTTGCGAGTTTTGATCTTTCACTTCTCATAGTTTCATTCTGAATTCCTTTCGGTCTTTTGCACGCAGTAATGGATGATGAAGAAGGCGTAGGAGGAATGGTAGGATAGCGTTATCCTGATACAGGTCTGGAGCAGTCGAAGCAGGCCAGACATTCTGCATTGGTTTTGCCCTTTTGGTCCTCGCAAATTCTCATAGGATTTCGCTGGAGATATTTTGATTCTTCAAATCAAGACAGAGCTGAATTGAGAGAATGGAGTGAGGGAGAGAAGCGCTGGTCTTATACACGTCACTTGCTTAGCGCAGGGAGGACGCACGTGATACGGTGGAGTTATTGATTCAGGCTCTCCGCTTTCCATGTCGCGCAAGCATGGCGGATACGATCTCTTCCCCATGCATTTGTACTTCGAACCTTTGGATAACTGCAAGTTCAGCGACGGACAGGCACATCAAGTTGAACCAGTGGTGACTATGAACATCGTTGCCCTCTTCCCCATTTTTTCGCCAAATCCTCCTGGAAAATGCCGACGCGAAATCGGTTTCTGAAAAGGACGCGTCAGCCGCAGACATATCTTCATGTGTTGTAGTTTTTGAAGGAAACGAGAGGTCATATGCCTTAGAATGCAGGAACGTGCTCTTGAATGGTGAAGCTTTTATGCTTTTACAGCATGATAGGCTGACGGCGACGTCTCCACAGACATAGTGGCTGCTTGTGCGATTTTGAGAAAGAAGCAAAAGAGCAGACACCATTGGCATCTCTCGCCGCTTGGAGAAGACTAAGGAACTTGGAGTACAGAAGGCAGAACTTTACTCGCCGACTGCGATTGTAGTGTATGTTTACAAGAGGGCCTGTACGTGGCTTCTTGTTCCAGCGGCAAAAGACATCACGCGGAGATTGGCGATTTTCCGAACAAGAGGCCAAAGACATGCGACAACTTCCACATGATTTTGGAAGAGGGGAGGAGACGCAGACATCCGAGCGCTGCCATGATCTTTGGGAAAACAAGCAAAAGCTTTTGGGATATAGGAGAGAAGAGCAATGAGGTATGAAAGGCCTTTTTATATACACACATACTTCCTGTAGTCGGGTGCAGCAAAGAAGATCATCAATGTAATGAAGCCCCATTTTTTGTCGCTATCGGCAACGCAATGGCACAATCTCTGGTCCATGTATCGATAACCATGACTTTTCGCTGTTCCAGAAAAAGGGGGTGTATTTGTATTTGTAGATCGGGAGTGCCCATAGCAACTGATGCATACGACTTTAGTCTTTTTTCTTCCAGCCATGACACGAGAGCGAGTTCGTTTCGAGAGAAGAAGAAGGCGCTCAGGACATATATTTGGCCATTGTGCTTTTTGATTCCAGCCCAGGATGCCGATGTAGTAGGAGAAAGACCCAAGAAGAGCGGTATATATACCGGACCAGCGCCCCAGAGTCGTTCTGCGATTAGTTTAAGCTTTTGGTGGACCATATGAGCTTGCTGCAGGCCCATTTACTCCAAGACCGTTGTAGACAACCCATCATCTTGACGGCCACCGAGTTTGGAAGACAGTGACGGCTCATGAGTATATCATCGTGCTTTTTTTTGAGTGAACACATTGATGAGTACTTGTTTAAAGACGCCAAAGGAAGAACCATGAGTTCCAACTTATGACATTCGGAGTAGACGTTTGCACATATTTGGGGGCAGCGGCCTTTTTGGGCAGATAGATCGATCATGCATCACGCCCCTCCAGATTTGGAACCGAAAAGCGCAGGAGAGACAGTCATGGGGGTTACCCTAGTCGATTTTGATATTTAAGAAGTAGAATTGTGTGATGAGAAGAAAGAAAGGAGCAGGAGGAACGAAGGCTTTTATACCCACCATTTCTCGTCACATGAGAGCACGGACCGTGCACAAAGAGAGCTGGTTCCAAGCCAAAAGTCCAGAAGCTCCAGTTTCTACTCTAGCCCGGGCTGCGCTTCCGTGACATGGACTACAGGTTCGACAGCTGCATCTCCTCGTGTTCAGCAGCTTCTTTTTGGCATCGCCGCTCTAATCGCGTCTTTCAACCACCCCGGCAGCTCCTCCGCGTCTGACTTATCCCCGCTCTCCTCATTCTGAAACACTCTCCCCAACCACATACCTCGCTTCAACATATTCTCTTGCTCTTCCTGCTCCTCACCATCCAAACCAACCCTCCCCTTCTCAACAACATCCTCAAGCCACGCCCTAAACCCCGGATAAACATACATAGCCGCCACCCCTCCACTAGCCCAAGTAACACATGCCCACTCCATCTCTTCCCACTCCTCTTCGCTACCCGCGAAATCACTTATCGCAACTCTTGCACTGTTCTTTTCGCGTTCACCCAGGGTCTCATCGTCTAGCATCTTCTTCACAGCCTGCTTTATCGGCACAATGGTGGAAGGCGGGAGAAGCCATGTGTTGTCGATCTCCTGCGTACCGATCTCTAGTGCACGGCCGACGAGGAAATGCTCTGTCACTTCGTCGCACGCGTAAGCCTTAGCTGTGGGGAGAGGTGCAAAAGGCCATTTATCCCATCGAGTGGGTAGGTCGAGCGTGAGGTCAGTGAAGTAGTCTTCTTCCGCAGGGTCGAGCCAGCGTAGTTTGTCGACGGGGTGGAGAGGTGTTTGAAGGTCGCCTAGCGGGTGGCCCCATGCAGAACCGAAACCGTTGCTGTGGCGAAGGAAGGTCTTGTAGTCGGCTGGCAAGGTGGTGTTGAGACGGGCTTCGGCTTCTTCAATCTGCGAGTCGGTGGCTGGAGAGTGAAAAAGAGTGGTTTCGGGCGGCTCCGGATTAACTTTCCTGGCCTCGGCGTTGTATTTCGTGTTGTATTCTGCTGCTTTCAAGAGTTCTTGCACGGACATGTTTGCTCTCGTTCTAGTTCGACCGTTCGTGAGTCGCTCGGTCAAAGCGTTCTCGAAGTCTTTCGCAAAGGTCGCGAGCGCTGCTTTATCAATGTTGAGATGCTGTCTCAGCGCTCCGCTTTTATACAGCTTCCATGCCTGCCTGGACTCCATTGCTGGCTGAGTCTCGTACGAACGTTCCCCAAAGCTATGCGCCAGCCAACGTAGTAACTCGTGGGATGGCGGGGTGCCCGACTGACGTAGTGTTTCGTCCATCCCGGGCTGTTCATGGTTTGCTTCAGCCGATAAGACCAGGTTCAGTATGCGCACCAGCCCGCTTCTCGCATCTCGGATCGTAGGTGCCGAACTTGCAGTCTCCAAGCTATGGATGGCATCTATCGCACTATCAAGCATCTCAGAAGTAGTGGGTGAACGACCAAGCTCATGGACGTGGAGTGCTTCTGCAGGTCCTGACCCCGGCATCACAGTCGGCTTATACCATTTCGACGCAAACTCTTTCGCCATAAGTTGCAGCTCTTCCTGTAAGTCCTCTGATGTTATTGTTTCGTCGGTCCTCCTTCGAGCATCGTCGCCGCCGATCGTCTTGGCTCGTCTGTCCCTCACAGCCTGGCGCACTTTATCTTCTTCTCCCTCGGGCCATGGCACACCATCTTCCTTCGCACGCAGATCCCAAAGGAACCAAAGGGGACGAAGGCTTCCTAGTCGGTCGTGATAGAAGTCATTTTGGTTAAGTCTGCCTATCAGGCGCGCTGCTACATCTGTGTAGCCTAGGAGAACCAGCTCTGGAATGAAGCGCGACGTGTATTCATAGAGACTACTATTGTCGCAACGTGATATAAGCGTTTTGAAAGCAGTGGTCGATGAGGTAGACATGATGGTGTGGCGAGAAGCATTCCCGACGCGTCGAGGATGGTCGCGCCGCGTGCGGAGGCGGGACTGACGTCATGTGGAGGATTAGGCGACCAGCAACATCACGATGAAGGAGAACACATGGAAAGATCGGGCTTAGATGCAGATGGAGTTCAGTTGTACAGTATGTATGCCCAATCGAAGTCCGACAAAGACTTGACCGTATGCGCGACGATACCTTTCATCAAAAGCAATACAACAGACCCAGGCTTAGACCGAGACCACGACCTCAAGCTCAGTCCGATATTCACCCCTTGTACAGCCATTTTTTGGAGTCGCGATGACATCTACACCGAACGAGGGCGAAACCGATCGCGGTCAAGGATAGCGAAGTCGAAACCAAGACAGTACCGTGGTGGGCGACGCCAGTGTCTCAAAGAGAGTCACTAAGTACCTAAGTAAGGGTTAGACAGTAGAAATGACAGTGGAAACGACTTGGGGTGCGGAGAATATCTAAGCGTGAACAGTATATATGGCGTTGTAAATGTCTAGCGACAAAAGAAACAAGAAAGGTAGACGGTGGAAATGAGTTAAGACACAAGGAAAGAAACGGGTGACAGTGGAAATGACTAAAAAAGCAAAAGAAACGCGAGAGAAACCTTACCATAGTAGCTAGATGCGTCGCGTGGAGGTAGTGGTAGTGGACGTAATGGTGGTGGTCGCTGTAGTGGGTGCAGTCTGCGAACGAGTGGGGAGTAGAAGCGTTGAATTGCGGAGGTGGAGAGATATTGATATACGTGCGCTCGGCCTCCGGATCAACTCCCGGCAGCGAGATAAGCGAGACTGGAGAATAGGCGGCAGTCCATTGTTGGGTCTGAGCTGAAGTGAGAGTGAAGACGGAGCGCGCGCGCTGGAAAGCTGAGCACGGGCCAGAAAGCCGCCGGTGGAAGAGGAGAACTTGAACTGGGGCGCTCGACGAGAGGGCCAGACGTCCGGCTTGTCGGTGAGTAGACGAGTTAGTACAAGCTGTTAATGAGCCCCGTCACTTGGTGCATGGAGACAGCCTTGTAGTTACCAATTGTGATCACATATCCACGGGTATCATTAATTACAACCGCTCAACAAAACAAATGAAAGAACTCTTCACATCGACCTCTCCCGTACCCTTGCCCCTTGCTTCAAGGGAGTCTCATCCCCAAATACACTCGGCGCCGGCGCGTCATTGCTACTCCTCGAGCTGCCCTCTATGAAATCTTTCCTGTCGACATAATCTTTCCTATCCTCATGTGTGATGTGTAGGTCCGTTGTACACTGGATGCCACCCAGCTCCAAACTCTCATCGCTATCGATCTTGCTCAGGCCCGCGCTGCGCATGTTTGTCGTGTTGCGTTTCGATCGGTTGGTCAGCTGAACCGAGTGCGGTTGGTGCGAGCGTGCGTTAGAGCGCGAGTGCGAGTCCGGGCCGGAGGAGCTGTGGAACTCTTCGGGGTTCATATCGTTTTGGGGTTTGCCTTGCGCGAGGCGGACGACGAGGGAAGCCATGGACATTTCGATGTTGAGCTTGACCATGTAGACGACGGGGTGGAATTGCACGTATACGACTTGGTTCTCGAGGAACATAAGACCGATGAGGAGGGCGTCCATGGCGATGGAGACAACCATTAGTTTACCGTTGAAGCCGACGAGTGGCGCATATTTAGTTAGGCCGTGTTGTTCGACAAGCCTGATCTTGACGGTGCGCAGGAAGTACCAGTTCAGGCCTGCGTCGACGATGAGGATCAGAACCTTGCTGATCTTGTCCCAGACGTTGTTGATCTTGACGAAGGTTTCGCTGATTGGTGGGACGGTGTGCGATGGAATCCAGATACAGAAGACGGCGATGTTGATGCTGGTGATGAGGACTACTGTTCCCCATTTGAGGTTGCGGATGGTACTTCGGTGTTCTGCGATGAGGGCAATGCGGTTGATGATGATTTGCATGAGTAGTTGGATCTCCCACACCCAGAAAAACAGGATGAAGAAAAGGACGGGAACACTGCGTTTCTTGTCAGTATGAGGCCTCATAGTGCGTAGTAGGGCAGGAAACTAACGTCGGCCCAAGTACATCGTTCAAGAACAGCCATCCAATGATACCAATGATGACATTGACCAGAATTTCACCCCATATCATGTAGATGTAGGCTGATCGAAGGGGGCTGTGATTTCGCCGTGTCTGCTTGACGGCCTCCCATACTGTCAAGAACCCGAACCCAATCGTGAAGCCGGCAGCCAGAGCAGCAAGCTGGAAGTCCTGGACGGTAGCCGACATTGTGTGGTGTAAGTAACGCGGAGGCTGGGGAAGGAGAAGTCGGTCAGAAAGATCCTAGAGTAGAAGGGCTCAGGGTCTCCAAAACACCCATATATCCCACTGATCCCGGAAAGGAGGCACGCCCGCTCCAGAAAGCACGTTGCAAACTACCGATAAGTTCATCATGGGTGACTGACTAGCAATAGGATGGCATTAGTGGACGGGACGGCATGCACCGTGGAGCTGTCAACTTAGCAAGCGGCTTGGGCTGTCCTACCATGCTCTAGCTGCCAATCACCACATGGAGATGTTACCCGCTAGTAATTCCAAGTGTTCCGAAGGACCCTCGCTTGCGTTTGCGAGTAGACGTGCATTACGGAGTGGACCGGCTTCCTAGCTTGGTATCAACCAGCGGGACACTGCGCATTCTAGCCTCCGACGTTCAGAGCGCCACATGTAAGTTAGATCTGTCTCCTACCCGAAAGTAAGTGTCATCTTAAACCTTAAATTACACGGCTGACGTGTATCGTAGAACGTAGCAGGAATATCGGCTCTTGTTCGTCTTGAAGATGATTACTATTCTCATCGGGTAGTGGTCGGTCGCCGACTTCATGACATGTAAGTGATGATAAACATAGATGTCGCGATAATACCTCCGAGGGCTAGGATACTCAAGATTTTCCCAAGGTTGCCTTCCTGCGTGGGGCCGCGGATCTTCAACGCTCATGGAACTCGTCAACGCGAATGCATGAATGCGCGACATCTGACTCCACACCAAGACGCAGAATCTGCACCGCCACTTCGTCAGTCGACCTCTCAGACGGATGGACAGCGCCCCTGCACTCCCACTTCCCTGCAATCACTGCAGAAAGCTGGGCGCTGCGGCTCAAGGTCTGCATTTGATATTCACCGGTGGTTGAGACGGAGTTGGTACACGTACAATGCTGATACCCGCATGAGACCACATCGATACATGGGGTCGACTCTGCTGGTGTATTCGGGGTACGATCGTAGCTTCCGTCGCTTCCCCTGATTACATGTGTGAGTATGACCGAGGAAGACCCGCAATTATTCAAGACGATGGTTGCAATTATTCCCGTCCAAGGTGATGCTGAGGTGTTGGTGGCCGACATTGACCGAATGGCAATGTGCAGAGTCATGGAACATCGTATGAGGATTCTGGCTCAGCTGACCATAATCTGCAACCCAACTCTTGTGAAAATACATCCACGTTCTGCAGGTCGCAAAAGAAAACCTATGTGGCGTTGTCTCTTGAGATCCAGTCTTCTGGAATTCTTCCTTTCCAATCGGTGCTTCTCCGGTTTCCGGCAATCTGGCCAAACGCGTCCCTGCCACACGGCTCGCGGTCCGTGCGCAAAGTCTGTCGCTACCCGCAGAGAGCGGGCTTCGAGAGGCCCGGACCAGATCTGGAGGATGAGCCGCATCTTAGATATACCGAGGATACGCTCGTATTGCGCAATTGATCTCATCGCGTCCACCTGTACTTGGGGTCCGTCGGAAGATGTGTCGAGGCCAAGGATCGCCACCAAGTCTGTTGATGGAGACAGGCATCAGCTAGTATTGGCAAAGTCGGCGAGCTGGAGCGTCGAGCCTGGCGTGGCGGATCAGCGGGCAGTTGAACTAGGCACGGGACAGTGGTGTGTAGCCTGAGAACGGCAGATTGCATATAGAGCGAAAGAGGAAGTACATACAGTATAAGGTTTATTTGACACTCAGATGCCGTGTTTGTTCTGCGCCTGTCGCACCTAGTTCACGCCGTCGTCTATCGCTTCCTCGCTCCCGTTGCCGTTCGCAGTACACTGGTAAACTTGCGATCAGTCCTGCGCATCGATGCCGAACTCCTCTTGAACTTCGACTATCCGTACGCCCCGCTGATCCGCAATAAGGCCCATCAGCCCCTGACCCACATCTTTCAGCTCGTTGTATTCGTGTAGTAATTTGATGTGCTCTTTCACGATTTTGTTTGCGGCTGCCATGACATCGGTCTCAGTAGGTTCATCGCTAGCATCGCCTGATTCGGCATCTGAAAAGGCGTTCTCTTCCATCAGCACTTGGATCGCTGGAAGGGCACTGAGAGAGGCCAAGAGTGCAGCTTTTTGGGCTCTCAGATTATCAAGAGTGACTTCCTGTGGTGTTCTCGATGGAGGCATTGGGATGGGCGATGACAAGTGTTGGGCGTCAGCGTGTGGTTGGGCATGGGTAGATAGTTTAGCAATGGGTGAACTAGCACCAAAACTTGAGCCTGCGCTCTCTTTCGGCAATGCCACTTCTTCTGCGGATAGTTGCTGGTCCGCGGATGTGCTTCGGGAAGTTTGTTCCTGGCCGATCTCATAGCTAGATCCGTTTTCGATCATGGCAGCTTCGCTAGTGTTGATGTGCATTCGCGCATTAGGAGGCGTGTCTTCAGTGTCTTGAGCCCAATGGAGCGTAGAGCTGGTGTAGTCGTCCGGCATGGTCGCAGCAGGACCTGCGTCGCCTGACGAGCCTAATGCAATCCTTGTCGTATTCGACTGCATGCTGGCAGCTGTTGAGGTCGGCCGAGATCGGTCCTAACGTATGTGAGCGCGTGAACTTACAAAGTAATGATCTAGGACAGACTACGTTGTCGCTCGTGTGTCCATCTACCGGATGATGCTTTACAGCTCGACCCGAATCATCTTTCGACACACGAGGCAGACTGGCGAGTGTGACAGTACTTTGCGATTGACATGTTGACCCGTTTGGGAACTCAGAATCGACGCTGAACTCTGATGGAGCGAGGGCAGCAGAACCTGGTACCTTCAACGTCGCATCCGCCATTGTGGATTGAATAGCCTCAGCTACTTCCTGTTCGGCAGAAGAAGGACTGGCATGGCTTACAGGTGGCTGCTGTTCGTCACCGCGGGCTGAGGGGTCAGATTCGACATCCTTGGCAACTGGATCCCCGTTTTCAGTTGGAACGACCATCACTTGAGGCCCATTTGGCATGTCTCTGGTCGTCGATACTGGCTTTTGTGGATGTATTTGTGTGTGGAGTCCCCGGCCGTGGCTGCCACCTTCGACAGTCGCTCCTTCCTCGTTTTGCGCTGCAGTGGTCTCATTGGGCATCATGTTAGTCTGATCAATTCTCGACGCGTCGACATCAACTGGAGAATTGGTGGAATCGGCGCCCAAGACTTCAGTTGTGCTGGCATCGCGTTCGGCGAATGCTTGTTGGAGGCCATCTGCCTCGCGCGACGCGTCCTGTCGCTCTTGGTACGGGACATTGGACACTGCGCAATGCTTGTCGCCCGCTTCATCCGGAACAACACCAGGTGACGACGTCATCGGATCATCATCCGAGTCCGCGATTTCGGTGACGCCCTTCTCGAAAGTCATGTCGTGAATGGCGAAGCTGAAGCTGCAGGGCGACGATGGTGTCGGAGATGATGGTGTTGATCGCCCGGTCGGAGTGTGGCGGAAGCCAATGACGGTGGCGCCTTCTGTTCACGTAAGCACGAGATTGCGACAACGCCTGCAAGGGAAACAACGAACACACTCGCCTCCCCATTCGGTCCCACCATAGCACGCGTCTGATGCTATTGTGAAACTCTCAACGCTGCAGATTCCACGATAATCACCTGCTCGTGGCGCCAGCTGCAGCGACCCGAATCTTATTCAGAAATACCCACGGCGAAATGGGCCTCCCTACAAGAGCGGCCCTTGCGGCGCTGCTATACACCGCAGCAGTCACAGCTCACGACCACGATATGGATGCGATCCCAGATGGTGATGCCATATCACCTGACCCAATAGTGGGTTGACACTTCGACCACCCTGGTTGAGGCAGCAAGACTGATGGTCGATGTAGGACTCAATACTATGGACGCACATCTTGGTCCAAACGGTGGCATGGGGCATCATCTTCCCCACGGGTATGGTATTAGGAGTAAGCTACTTCATATTGAGACTGAAGAGCATGAGCTGACAGCAAGGCTAGATAATACGATCCAAATGGCACGTCCCGGTACAATCTCTCGGAACCGTCCTCGCAATCATCGGATACTTCCTCGGCCATAGACACAAGGGCAGGCAGTTCACCGATAACATCCACAGCCAGTTCGTCCCTGTCATCATGCTCATGTTGGTATCCCAAGTTGCTATGGGTATCTACCTGAAGCTACACCTGGAGAAGGGCATCAATGGGAAGATACGGCGCGTGGTAGTGAAGGCGCACGGTGTTGTTGGAAAGGCTATGCCAGTGGTCACCTGGGTGCAGTTCCTCTTTGGAGGAATTACCGCACTCGGCTTCTGCAGAGCGGATCACACTGGACAATGTCTGGCGCATTTCATCATGGGCAGCGCCTTCATCGCATACGGCATTATTCTCCTGATTCTACTTCTAGTCGGACAGATGTGGCTGCGGAGGACCGGAAGAAGCCAGGAGTTCTTCGATTCGCTCGTAATCGCCGCCTGGGGTTGCGTCAACACCTTTACCGAACACCGATGGGGAGGACCATGGGTGCACAACGACCTTCAGCACACATCTATGGGCATCGTTTGGTGGGCTGCCGGACTGGTCGGTGTCTGGCTCAGCCGAAAGCGCAATGGACAGCCGAAGCGCAACCTTATCCCCGGTATCATCATCTTGATGACCGGATGGGCCATGTCTGCGCACCCACAACATCTGCCAATATCGACTATGATCCACACCATATTCGGCTACACCCTCATGGCTGCAGGTGCCGCGCGTATCATCGAGATCTCATTCGTGCTCAAGGACCGCGCTTCTGTCGCAACCGACGGCTCGGACCCGAACAGCTTCCAGTACCTGACGCCGTTCCTGCTCATGGCTGGTGGATTCATGTTCATGGGCGCCACCGAAGAGCAGATGAAGCTGCTATCCGACGCGAACGTCACGCACGTGTCTTACGTGCTGATCCTCTACAGCATCGCTTTCTTGCTGTTCCTTTGTGAGTCTCCCCATATAGCTCACCACTATCTCAAGCTAATTCGTGTCTAGTCGTCAACATGCTCATCCACCTCTACGCCGTATACACTTGGGAACAAGACGACAAAGCCGATGCCGAAGCGCCCCTCACGAACGGTCACGCGAACGGACACATCAATGGATACACAAGGGTCGATCGTAGAGTGAGAGACGCTGAGGAGTTTGAATTGGAAGGGCTCGACTCAGATGACGACGATGAAGAATCACCGCGTCTGAATAAAGAGCATAGGCCTTTGGCTGCGCAGCATTAAGCCTCTTTTCTTTCTCGTTGACATGGGCACATAGGGCATACAGGAATACACACATTTTGTTTTGATAGGCGGATCAGTCCATGCAGTACATCGCCGCGGGACATACCATATGATAGGGTGGCTGCATATGTGTCCTCCACCGATGAGTGTGAGATCGTTGTGAGTGGTTGCCCACTGCCAGCCTGGCATGCACGCGCTGCGCCTCGGCCTCAGCCTCTCCTCATGCCCCGCTCTTCTCGTGTGCTTTGCTTTCTCTCTCCTTCGATCCACGTTCTGCGCACCAAGGTCTGCGATGGCAGACCCATTTTCCATCACCGGCAGCGCCGTCGGTGTCGTTTCCCTCGCCATACAAGTCTGCAAAGGCCTGGAATGGTACCTCAGTGGCGTGAAAGAAGCGAAGAACAAGGCTGAACAAATCGCCGCGGAAACGGAGGAACTCGCAAACCTTCTCGAACAACTTGAATCCGTCATCGGGAAAGTGGATCCTTCCCAGTCGGTTTCAGCAACACGCACCGGCATCGTGTCGTGTGCGAATGCTATCGCGACCATCAGGAAGAAGCTCAAACCAGACGACCAAGCAGCGAACAGCGGGATCAAGTCGAGCTTAAAGAGGTTGACCAAGCGACTGGCTTTTCCATTCAAGGAGGCGGACATCACATACTGGAAAGACGTTCTCAGCACCATACAGCAAAGCCTACAGACTGCGCTACTCGCCCTTGTCATCGACCAACAGCGGTTGGCTTCTGAGGATGCTCGGTTGCACTACACCCAGCTATCCGTGGACCAAAGCATACGTCACTTCTCGAATCTACAGCTGCAACGCGATGTGTTTGATGCAACAAGTCTTCAGCTCGCTGGACAATCACACATGCTCGAATCGGGATTTTCCGCCACGTCGCACAGTCTTCAAAGTCTCCATAGCGGTATACACAGTTTACAGGCAAAGCTCGACGAAATATCGCTCATGGAGGAGTCTACACTTCAAACCGACGTGATAAACCTCAGATCGCTTCACCGGAAAGACCGAAGGCTGAAACGACGATATGCAAAACTCTCATGTACATGCCGACCGCAAACCTCAGCGCTTGGCTATCGCACGGGACTGTTCGCTCTCACATGTACACGAACGTCTACGCACGATACAGGGTGTCCCCAAGCTCCACTCCAGAACGCGGTGACGGATCTGCAACTTCAAGCTACATTGTGTAGTCTTCTACTCGGGAAGAAAGTCTTGCTGTCGTTTCAACTATCTTATGGCGCTGGATTGTCGGTCAAGCAGAATTTGAAGTGTCATCGCGTTGTTCATTGGTCTCCTGCGTTCGAGTTTGCCATGCCACTTGTCGAGTCTAGTTTCAAGATGCCAATGGATACTTTTCGGGGCGAGGTCGAGAAATTGTTGAGGATGTTCCAGCTCAAACAAGCGTCACTACACGATCGACTAGCAAATGGAATGACGCTTCTACATGCACGTATACAGCCCCTATCGATACGCAATGAAAGCTGACCACCAGCACAGCAAATTTGTTACAACATCAGCTCTCTCAGCTATAACACAAGCTTTGTTGACGTCTTTGGTAACCTTGCCTATCTGTTCAAAATTCTCCTTCCATTAATGCCAAGTGAAGCTTTCGAGAGAGACAACTATGGACAGTGAGTCTCCTTTTACCCTTATTCTATATGAGACTCATCATCATTTTGCGGTGCTTTCGTACCGCTTCGAAGTGGGACAACGCTAAGCGTGGAAAGTACATGCATCGACAATCTCATTATATATGCCATCCCTCATCAGGGCAGAGACTTCCATACGGGACTCTTGGAGTTTCTATTCGAACAAGATCTGCAGATAACACGGAATACCTACAAAGTCGCAGCGCGCAATAGCCAAGTACAGTTAGCATTCTTCGCCGGGATTCGCTACGAGAATTTCGTCAGTCCCTTACTAGATGACAGCGAGTTATTAGAAGCAGTTGTCATGAAGTCGGGCCATCAACTCCGGGGTCTCTTACACCAGCCCAGGATCTTGCACGCTCTGGATACTGAGACGCTCACGGACGCCCTCGTTACGTCTACCGTTACTGACTGGGTGGATGGCTGCAGAGTCCTGCTCGATGCCAATTTTATTCCATACCTGGGCGACCCAATCTCTGCTACGCGGTACCGCAGGTGGAGTCTACTATCAATCTCGGCGGTTTTCAATCGACTGGACATGTTGCAGTTCTGGCTGGCACAGAGGGAGGAGTGCGACGAACAACAGCTCAATCTGATTGGCTACATTGAGGACGCGCTCTCTCTCGCTCAGGGACCTAGATCAGGAATCCCCATGATGGACGTTATCCAGCTCCTGTTGAGCCATCTCATCAAGCAAAGGCACGAGGTAAAGCTACTGATGGAGAGGCATGGACTTGAACATTGTTGTGCACACGCTCGGACAAGCTTAGCAGATGCGCATCTCAGTTGCATGCTGACTACACTAGTAACGGAGAGGGTTGGCATGCCCCGACGTTATTGGCCGAGACGAAGAAGTCTCTATTACATGCCAGAGATGTGGAGGCTCGACAAACTCAAACTATTCGAGTCTTTCGAACGTGCCGGCCTTTGTGATATCAGTCAGCAGGAATTCACGTGCAATAAGGACATAGCCTGCTCGCCATTGGTTTATTTAGCCGTGCAAGAGATGCAGGGTATCAAGTCAGGGTCCTTAAGTGAGCGTAATATGACAGTCCAATGGTTTCTCTCAAGAGGTGCGAACCTGAGAGACACATGGCCAGGAACGAACACCACCGCTGTACATTGTTTGGCTTGGCAATCTGCTGAATGTCTGAGGACTAAAGTCGTTGGCTCATCTTACGATGATTCTCCTATCATGGAGGAATTCTGGACGTACGAAGATTATGAGTTTCTTGTAAAGGAGGAGATCCTTGACCAGTGCGAATGTGGATGTAGCAGATTCGGGTGCGACTTTCTTTCATGCTTTTGGAAGGAGATGTTTGCGGCAGGTTGGTATTGTCCGCCGTTTCCTCTCCTCTGCGATCGTTTCAAGAACAGAATTTCAGCGAGGGATCTGGGTAACATCATGTTGTATGCGCCTAACGTTACCGAGAAACGACATGTTCTCTTCACGGGGGCATTTCTCGATCTGACTCTGTGGGTTGAGAAAGCGGCAAACACTCTCGAGCTTTCTCGACTTATCCATGGGTACATCCGCCTCTTCGTGTTCTCGTATTTGGAGATAAGACATACCTGCTGCGACATTGGTCGCATCCAGCACGAAGGCAATCCTGATTACAACATACAACCATACCCTCGGTATGCTCCAAAAGAACTTCGGCGCATAACCAACGAGGACGCACATCTGCGCGCACGTCTCGAACAGCTAGTCCCCGAGCTTATCACGCGACACGAGTCTTTCGGTGGAAAGCTCCAGGACTTCGTCATCGAAGTTCTCATTCCGACAATGCGCAGGACTGCGAAGGAGTTGAAAGAAGAAGACAAGACACTGTACGCGGCGGGGCGACGAGAACTGGGCGTTGTAATGGATGAGGATGAGGATGAGGATGATTCCGAAGAGGAGAGTAGTGAAGTGGAAGAGGAAGAAATGGACGCCGAAGAAGAGTCGGACGACGAGTATTGAGATGGTGTCATGTACTATTTCTTCCATCAGGTTTTGAGAGTGCGCAGGCGTTTGTATATGATCAGCAGAGTTTACACTTGGTTTCAAAGCCATTGGCAAGGGCAATCCAACACCGAACGAAGTCTTTCACGTATATTATTAGATATTACAACAGTATCCAAGCCACTACCAGCTCCTCCTCGGCGCCACAAGTCGTTCGTCGGGGTATAATGCACCATAAAATCCACTTTTGTCGCTCGAAATCCACTTTTGGTCGTCGTTTCATCGTTTGTATCCTCCTCTTCCTCTTTCTCAGTCTTCGTCCAGATCCCGTCTTCCCTGCCTCTACTCCTCCCATTTACGACGCTTTTCCCCCAGTAGTGTTTACTGCAGTCGCAGTACCGCATCCGTAGCTAGCCATGTACGCAGCGTTGACGCTCTTGTGGTGCTCAACAGCATGCCTCTTGACACCTTCCCACATCTTCTTGATGCTGAGGTTGAGCTTGTGCTGTGTCTTCTCCTCTTGGTTGACGAAATGGTGGGCGTCGTGTGCTGATTCGTGGGATTGGCGGCGAGACTGGGAGAAGGGTGTTGTAGGGTTGGAAGAAGATGGGGTTGATGCGGAGGAGAGCGACAGAACGCGCGGGTGGCAGTCGAAGTTGTTCATTTTGGTGGTTGGTTGTTCGTTTCAAATACACCGAAGATGTTTGGAGAGTTTGGTGGTCTTGAAGTTGAAGATTGAAGTGTGGTAGTAGACTTGATGATGCTTTGATGCTGATATTCCTCCACCCAACCCACTCCCCACCCCTTATATACCCCATGGCACCACGAAGAAATTTTCCACCCTTTCCCACCACCAGCCAAACGATCGTGAGATCTTGGACACACACACTCCACGTGCACCGTGACTGATTTTTCGCAAAGGTCGCACATGTGGGTCTAGCAAGGTAGCATCGCCTCGCGCTGGTTACCACCGAGTGTCTAGAAGCCACAGGACACACACCGGAAGACGTCATCATAATACCCTTCGCATGTGCCCTGACTAAACCTCTTCAGATCAAAAAGATACTAGAAATAGCTAATGCACATGGCATGATCTCCGTTAACCGCTTAGCTCCCGCGAGGCTCTCAGGAGAACGTGGTGAGAGGCGTTGTCGGCTGGCGTCGGCTCAGCCTCAACAGACTTTTTATACCGCAGGGTCCCACTGCGACAACCATCACGCTGTTGACTTTGACACACGAGTTACCTCTAAAGGCTATTTCGTGTGTCATAGTCGCTGTTTGCGCAAAATTGCATACTTCGTCGTGCCTGGAAGAAAGAGATGGATTGGTCGTTAGTTCAGCCGCGCCCTAGACAGGTAGGGCGTGCGGCTCAACGAAGCTTGGTTGCGTGAGCTGGAATGTTCGCGATGGCGCACGTGGATTCGCGATTGATGGCGAGACTGTGTTGATGTGCTGAGCATGTGAATGCACAGACTCGAAGTCTCTTTGTGGAGTGGTGATGCGGAGGGCGGGTTGTGAGTGTCGCGGGCGCTAGCAAGACATGATGTTTGCCGTTCCCGTCGGATAGCCTTTCCGTTGGAAACATTGAGTATCGCCTCACCGATTCTTTCACACTTTGCAAAACTAGACGAAAGGTATGCCATCAATTCGAAGTTGCGGCGATTCCGCCGCGGCGGTGCGACCTCTGGCGACATGCTGGCCCGATCATTCATTGGCTTCAAACAACTTTTGGGGGTAATAATTTCTATTCATTTGGCAAATCACTACGACTACGACCTAGCCGTATTCCTCAACGTCTTCTGTATACAAGCACATAGCTCCGGTATCCTGAACGGCTTGCTTATCACATCGTCCATTCCCGCCTTCAACGCCACTTCTACCTGCTCGCTCCTCACATTAGCCGTCACCGCGATGACCGGTACGTGCGCTCTAACAACGCCTTCTTTCTGAAGCTCTCTGATGTTCCTCACGCATGTCAATCCATCCATGACAGGCATCTCCCAGTCCATTAGGATGAGTGCGAGTGACTTTCCAGAGCCATCAGAGATGCAGTACTTTGTTGTGCGTAGATAGTCAAGAGCTTCTCCACCATGATTCGCGACTGCGACCTGCATACCCGTATTCCGTAGTTGCTTGGCCAGGACGCGCTGGTTTACGAGGTTGTCTTCGACGATGAGGACGTGCAGGTCTTTGTTGGGTATGTCGTTTGCAGGAGCGGAGGCTTGGGGTGGTTCGTCCGATTCGTTGCGCGATCGACTTGAAAGCAGCGTTTTTTGCGCACGTATGCTTAAGCTAACGGCCGCATCGCTTTCCGACCGGTTAAAGTTGGGGCGAATAGTGCTTCTACGACTCTTCACGTAGAAGGAAAATGTGCTTCCGACGCCGGCTTTAGATGCAAAGCCGATAGCGCCGCCGTGCATCTCAGTAAGCTTTCGTGAGATGAAGAGACCCAGACCGGAGCCGCCTAAAATACGTCAGCAAGTCGTTTAGTTGCCTTCAAGGTTAATAATCACCATAGTCGATATGTGTGCGCGGAGACGCTTGCGAAAAGCGTGCGAAAAGGAGCTGATGTTCTTCGTCGCTCAAGCCACGGCCCGTGTCCTGCACGGAGAAGATGATGTAGACCTTTTTGCGTTAGTGGAAGAACTGAGACATCGCCTTCAACAGCAGCTTACTAGCTCGCCCTTCTCCCAATCTGCTTGTAGAGTCGCTGCTTCTGATGTTTCCGAGCTACGCGAGAATGGCACGCTGAAACTGTGGGTCGGCTGCTTTAGGGAGACTCCCAGACTGACCCTGATCTCGCGTATCTCTTCTAGTCGGGTGAATTTGATTGCATTGGTGATAAGGTTCTCAATTGTCAGCCGAAGCACCTCAATATGTTTCACGTACTTACGATAAGAATCTGTAAGACCCTTGTAGGGTCTAGCGAAACGAGATCGACCGCGATCTTTTTGCATGACTCTTCGAGCTGGAATCGCAAATCCACACCAGCTGATTTGGCTTCACCTTCGAACATTTTCACCGCGTCTCTCGCGATTGAGTCGAATTTTACATCGACTGGGGTCATTACAAACAAACCGGAGTCCAGCTTAGACATGGTAAGCACGTCGTCCACAATAGTCTTCATGTGCTTCGAGCACTGGACAATGGTTTCGGCAGCGTCAACGGTATGCTCCAATATAGTCTGGTAGACCTTCTGATAATCTGTCGACCTGCTGAAGTTCTTGTGAGCCGAGATAATGCTATCTGCACATTGGACGATCGCTGACAAAGGATTTCGCATCTCGTGTGATGTCGTGTCGATGAAGTTTTCCAGACTGCGCTTAGATTCTCGAGCCCTCGTCGCCTGGGTAGCCTGAAGTTTCTCTCCCCATTTCTGCTGACTGTTCAAAGTCTTTAGTCAAGTATAGCGAGATGAAGGAATAACGTACCTGATGTCGGTACAGCAACCGATGATCTCTACTACTTCTCCGTTCTCATCGAGCTCAGGGAAGATGGATGTAATGACCCACATTGGCTCCTGTTCGGGGAATGTATCATCCATATGCTGGGTAGGCGCATTCCACCTCTTCTTGAGGCGTAACTCAAATGATCTGGTCATAGTAAGCTTTGTCGTACGTCATGACGTACCTATCACTTACTGATGCTGTTTGGTCTCGACAAGTTCCTCAAACTTTGCTTGTCCCATTTCGACGAAGTCATCGTCGATAAGCTTACTCCACGCGTCAGCGAGATCAGTTGCAGGATCCACTGGACCAAGCATCTCAAACCACGCTTCGTTCCTATACGAATAGACCCCGTCCATTCCTATGAGAAAGATGCCAATATCGGCACGCTCTGCGAAGCGTTTGAACTTGGAGAAATTGCGCTCAGACTCCGCTTGGGACAGAGTCAACTGTTCCTTTAGCTGCGATTTCATTGCTTCTGCGTTTGCGATAGTCCGTTCTCGACGGCCAATGTCCTCTTCATGGAGTAAAATTGATGTTAAGCAGGTAGAAAGCAGGCGGCTGGCGACCAGTATGAACTGGAGATAATCCTCGTCAAATGGTCGACGGGGATTAAGCCCAATAACCATGAAGCCAAGGATATTGTCCTTTGAAGAAGTCGGGTTTAGAGGGCAGATGGCTGCCGCTCGGCAGGGATCACCGAAGCCCTGCCACTCAACGTCCTTGACCAACGCTGCCGCCACAGGATCCTGATCGAACCGAATGATAATCGGCTTCCGGGCAGTAAGAGCTTGGCGAAAGTATGGAGTAAAGCCATGGTCTTGTTGGAAGTCCAGATGATCGGGACCTGCGGGCGACCCTTTCGGAAGACCGAATGAGCCACGAAGCTTGCAGTGTTGTTGGTTCGTATCGGAAAAGCGAGTTCTACTCGATTCAGACCCATGCCCGTCTGCTTCAGCCGAATACAACAATGCGAACGGAATATCTTTATCGTTGCGGGATAGAACTTCGGTGGCGAGAACCCAGTAAGTATCCGTATTGCGCGCCCTGGGTATCTCCTCGCTTAGCTCTAGGAGAACGCGCGAGCGTCTTTGTGCAATGACCTGTCTAGTCTACAGGGCTGTCAGCAGGTTGCACAAATGGCTTCGCAGCTTCAGACATGGCTCCCAAGAGTTGCGACGGCATACTAGTGCAAGAGTCCATGCTTCCGTGAGTACCATCTTCATCGGTACGTAGCGTCAGATGCGCCACTGGAAGAGCAGGTGCTTAAAATATGCGCTGAAAGTGCGAGAGTTGCAACATACCGTTTCTACCAGGGGCTCATAATGCCCAACTGTGATACCCTCAGCATCTAATATGGGTATGAACTTTAAGGAGAAGTACGTCTCTTCCATGAAACCGCTGCGTACCATGTGTATCGAGGTGTTCGTCTTTTCCACGGTTTCTCCTGCGAGGTTGGTTTGTATGATGGGTTCAAAATACTGGTCCCAGACTGAAGCAAGCGCGACGCGAGCGCTGACTCCCATGCAAGGGTGGAAGCCACCCAACAGCTCTATCTCTGCTTCGTTGTAG